GGGAGTGGGGAGGGAGGGGGGAAATGGGCAGCTGATATTAGGGGCTAGAGTAGAATGATGAGAGCAGCGAATGTACATATGTGCCTGACACAATGGATGTATGTATGGATTGTGGTAAGAACTGTAAGAGCCCCAAATAAAATAACTTTAAAAAAAAGACATTTTATTTTTTAAACATGAGTTTTCATCTTTAGAAAATAATTTTACTATATCCATATTCTTTCCAGGAGGCAAATATTAATATTTATTATAGGTCTTTATGCCTTCAACCTAGTCTCACCCCTTTAGTTACCAAAGTTTGCCCTTGTATGCAGATGGGCTATTAGTTGCCTGCGTCACTGGTACCAAGAACAGGAGCTTAAACAGAATCTCAGCCACAAATCTGACCTTCAAGAAAGAACTCTTTTAGTCCCTAGTTTTCATTTCTGCAAAATATGTGTAAGATAAAATATCAACTTATAAAATAGCTGTAAGATAGATATGGTGAGAAAAAATTGCTGATATGATATAATATCTATATAGCCAAGTATAAGCCAAGTTTTTCAGCACATTTTAAATGCAATTTTTGTGGTAAAATTAGGTACCCCAGCTTATACTCGAGTATAATTCGGGTCAGCTTATACTCGAGTATATACGGTAATATATGATATAATTTCATTACAAGCTCTTCTCAAATCTAGACACATCTACTATGTAAGATACTCTACATATATAATACAGGAAAAAGGAAGACTTTAACGAACTAAGACAAAAGATTTTTAAATAGGAAACTGATGTCAATGGATTAAAATTCTTTTTGTTCATTTCCTTAAATGATACAATTGCCGTATACAATTACAGAAAATTTTCCGATATAATTTCTTATTGAACCTATTTAATTTCTGGAAATGCTAATGAAAAGTTAAAATTAAAGTTTCTACATAGATAACCCAGTTCAGGCTTTGTCTACTAGCCAAGTAATGATATCTTCAAACACAGAGCCTAGTTTTAATAAGCCACATATCTTTATAACTAATTTTGAAAGCTTGGGTCTACCTTGCTTTTAAAAAAAATGAGTTTTTAGAGTTCTTAAATAGCTCTGAAACATTTCTGGAAATCAAACAGATGCCTGGCACTAAGCAAATTATAGAAACGAGGAGAAATATATATTAGGGAAGAAGTGATTTGAGTGGATTTGCCTTCCTTTTATAAACCCCAATACCTTTTCAAAAGAATTGTTCCAAACCTGGAACCTATTTCTCTTGGGATTCTATATTAGAAAATAGGGGACGTGAACTTCAATAAGAGATTCCATCTATCCTTTAAACTAAAAGAACCAATGAGAGTATTATTCACCACTGTGAAGAATCACCACATAGCACACTATTAAGTCGGCTTGAGTCCATCAATGCGTCTACATAAATGACATGGCCAAGCCACTGAAGTGACAAAACTTTCGTTTCTTAAGGCAAATTTTTATGGAAATGAATCACGTAGCCTGTGTATGTAACCAAGTACAAGTTCAGCAAATTCACAGGAACTAGACTCAAAAGTTCAGTGTTCAATGCCTTAACATTCAAAATTTCACATGGCTTTTCTACTACTGAGGCTTATTATTATGAAAATCTATTCCTTTCTACAACCAGTAGTGGAGGTTCAGTACAAAAGCATCAACAATCACAGGACTATTTAAAACGAATTTTTTTACCATCAAGGCTTAGAACGATTTGCCACAGATCTGAAAGGAAACGAAGGTACAAAAGCAAAGAGGCTGAGATGCGGTGAAAAGCCTTTTTTTCCTGCATAAATGGCCAATCAGTCCCACTGCTGGTCCTACTTCTGCTCTGGTCATGCAATGACAGGGAAGAAGTGCTAACAGAGACTGAGGAGACTTCTTACAACCAAACGACAAGCGTCAAGGAACTAGTGAAAATGTCCACAATATGCTTTTGTAAGACAACCCCTGACTGGAGTGTGATCAAAGGGACAACGGCAGGGTCAATGGCTGACAGGAGCCTTGGGGGACAGTGAGTTTATGCCAGTGGGAGAATAACAACTCAGAAAATTAGAGTGAAAGTAAATGCACAGCTTAGAGAGTCCAATCAGTGTTGCTGAACTGAATATGGAGAAACTGTTGAATTGGTGTTAAGTTTTGCTGTACCTATTCTCAACAATGACTAATTAAAAAATAAAATAAATTTGTTCTAAGAAACGGGGAAAAAAAAAAAACCAAAAATCAAGTACTAACCAGATATTAATATCAAGAGGTATTGTGGTAGGGCTGGTCACAGCACCAGTGGGGCTGAGCATCTATAGAAAAGACACTGCGTTGAAACAGGACATGAATATCAATTGCTGCGAAGATACGGTTTTACAAACCAAATCAACTTCAAACTACAGATTAAATTAATAATTACCATCTTGATAAATCAAGCGTTTCTACTATAAAACCTTCGCGGCACAAAGCTATGAAACAAAGTTTAGAAAAACTAATTATAATCCATCATTAGCTTCTTGAAAAGAAAGTTTCGTTTAAAATACCCATTATTCCTTTTCTTATCTGTAACTTTCTATTTGGAAGAAATTACGGACATCCAGGGAATGAAAAGAAAGGTCCTACGACGTCCCATGTAGCTTCCCCAGTTTCTCCCAGGGCTCACATTTCACACAGCCATAGTACAATATGAACAAGCAAACGGCGAAGTGTGTTTGTGTTGTGGCTATGAAAGCCAAGACACTGATCCTCATGGGTCTTATTGAGATTTCATGGGTTATCCATGCACCTGTGTTGTGTGTCTGTGTGCAGTCACTCTATGTAATTTTCTCACATATGTGGCAGTATGTGACCATGACCTAGATACTCCACCATACTATCGCAAGGCCCGTTGTGCTATCCTTTTAAAGCCAGTACTCTTTTCTCAACAATTAGTCAAGAACAAAGGCCACTTCAATGTTGCCATCTTAGCCATCCAACTAAAAGCAGAGCTTTCAGCTACCAAGGGGAAGAAGGACCCTGTAGGGTGTTTCTTTGGCTTAGTTTAGATCCCAGGAGAAGTCAACGGCAAACAGGGCAACAGCAGGGAAGGGGAAGATGGGCAGTTCTGAAGGTGGTGGCACTGGTGGAGTAGGGGGCAACAGGAAAATTTTCCAATGGGGGCTTAGATAGCACTGGTTTAGACACCCCAAATCAGGTAGTACAAGGCAGGTCGCAATTCCCCAGTGCTTCCTGAAGTATACTGGATTAGCTCAGAAAGCAAAAAGTGTGTTTGTTATAGAAGTAAATTTTTTTTGTTGTTTTTTTATTTTTTTTAGAAGTAAATTTTTACAAAATCATTAAAAGAAAAATAACTTCCATTTCACACCCTACCCAGCAGTACATTTAAAAGATGTGTTTATTAAAAAGTTAAATATGCCATGTAAAGGAACCCTGGTAGCACAGTGGTTAAGCACTCGGCTGCTAGCTGAAAGGTTGGTAGTCCGAAACTACCAGCTGCTCCCCCCAAGACAGGTGTGACAGTCGCTGTCCACAGTCCCGGAAACCTTGCTGGCTGCTCTACTGTCAGCCACTCTAAGTTGAAATCCAGGTGGCGGCAGTGGGTCCAGGGAATGTTTAAGTTTGTCATGTAACAGTAATACAGACTGAACAGGCTTAAGAGTCTACTACATAAAACCTTTCACTCTCAATTAAAATAGTTGGCAGAGTAGGGAAAAAAAAGCCTTTAAAACCAGAATATATTTGCTGCCCAAGAACATCTATGTGGCACCGCTAATAAGAAAAGCTTTGCAAAATGTAGAGACTGACCAGAGGTTAAAATACTAATATTTAGCGTAAGTTCTTTAAATAATTATCAGCAGTAGCACACTATGAGAAATGAAATTAGCCTACTTAATCTATTTTGTAATTCCCCCAAATCCAAATACTTACAGTCAAATTTGAGGATCCAGCACCCATTAAGAATCCCAAGCAAACATTTCAGGGTACTTTGAACTGCGTCACCAGGAACAATGACATGAGTAACTAGGATACAAAAAAGCAGGAGGAAAAACAGATGTAAACCAAAATAACTCATTAACTAGCCTACTTTCTCTAACCAGCTAGCTTATCTTCATAAACCAGTCAGGCTGTCTTTTAAATTCTATACTAGCATGTAGTCAAATTCAACTTCATCTTATACTTAACCACAAAACTTCTGTTATTTAGCATCCTTCGCTAACCTGGCCACCAACACAAAGAGTCAGATCGTAAATCGTACATACGAAAGCCACCTTATTAAATGCAATTTTTTACTTTCATTTTCAAATTATAGCTAAGGAATTGTAGCACTGCATTTGCACTACCATTTACTTGTCATTAGCAGACTCATAAATTCACTCTCTATGATGAACTGCTCTAACCTAAAGCAGGAAGCAGAGCTTTAAACTTTAAATTCCATAACCACAATTAAGCCTATAGATAATTTATAATTATACAAATAATTGAAATTATTGCAAGATGCATATGAGGGGGCTTCCAAAGGTTTGTGGGGAAATTCTATGATCTTTTAATTCCACTTTTCCACACATTATGAAGCACCCTCATATTGTAAAGTCATATCCCAACGTCTAAAACATGAAGACATTAATATAGACGTTCTACAAAGGGGTTATATAATTTTGAAAAAGAAAAACAAACCTACTTAAATATAAACAAGTATCCTCACCTGTACTGTCAAACTCAGCACATTTTTTAGCTTTAAGAATGGCCGTGAGGTCACTGAGCATTTTCTGCTGCGCAGAAGAAAGGCCACTGCCAATAAGCACCAGAGGCCTGTCCCTGCGTTGGCCCGTTTTCATCTGTTAATGGAAGAGAAGCCACAGCATTACAAACATTGAAAGACCACAGAAAAGCATTAACTGACTTTCCGTTGTTAAAAGCGTTAAAAGCGTGAGTGTTATTATTTCGCTTACATCTACTAATTCCCAGTAAGTTTCATTGATTGATTGCTTTTCTATGTCTTTGGTTCTAAATTTAGATCTCTTTAGGGTTTTATAATTTCAGTCAGTCACCACTAACCTTTTGGTTAGTTTGCTTCAAAGAACTCAAAATCAATTGATCAGTTTCCTATCTCCCATCGGTCAGTTATTCCAACAGTTACTCTCAACTTGCATAGTTTGTTCACACAGATTACCTTAGTGATGAGGAAAAAGCAATCTTAGAACACTCCAGCATCTAGAACAGCGATGACCCCAGAGATATGGACGATGTTCAACCCCTCTCTAAACATCTCTTCACATCTGTTCAGACACGAAGTGCGATGCAGTGCCTTTTCTCCGACCCGCACCCCCCAAAAGGCGTGCAGATTTCACAGGTTAGAGGGCAGTCTTCACACTGCAAAATCTGGCTAAACTTCCAGCTACACGTTTGGGAGCTCCAGGACCATCCACATTTTGTCCACTGGACTGGAAATTCAGGAGTGCTCCTACTATACCCCTCAATTCATTTCCTGGGTGTCAGATACGTAAAGTGCTATAATTACAATTTACAGATATTACAATACTTACAAAACAGTTGTATACAAAGAGATTCATAGGGCAAGGTCTGGAAGTGTCCCCAATGTGGAGTTTCCATGTGACCAGGGTCTCATTGCCCTTTGGAATCCTTTTTCTCTCGTCAAAGAGGAGGCTCCCCTGAGCTTCAAAGTCTAGCACTTTCCGTGAGGTTTCATCACACAGGCCTGGGTGACAGCACCACGGGTCACTGCATCGCCTCCATCTCCAGCCCTCCCTTCCCTGCCCAGGTCTGCAATCTGGCTGAGGTCCCACGGGCAGCCAGCTCTAACCACAACTCGCCTTTTTCAGCCTTCCCTGAACATCAACTGAGTACTGAATAAGGAAGACCAAAGAAGCGGAGCACTTGAATGATGGTGCCGGAGAAAAACACTCAAAGTGCTACGGACTCCTAAAAGGACAAAGGGATCTATCTTAGAGAAAGTTAGGTCAGAGTGCTTCGAGGCGAGGATGGCAAGACTTCGTCTTCCAAACTTTGTACATACTGTCAGGAGAGAGTTCTCCCTGGAGAAGGACAGATATCACGCTTGGTCAAGCGCAGGGGCAGCGAAAGAGATGAAGCCCCTCGGGGGCATGGACTGACACAGTGGCTGCATTCATGGGCTCAGGCACAGGGCCGGGCAGAGTTTCGTTCTGCTGTGCAGAGGGTCACTCTGGGTCAGAGCCTACTTCATGGCACCTAACAAAACAACAACAATGAACATCAAAAATATTCCAATCACAGAAGAAATTGCAAAGGTTTCAAGGGTGCCTCCCCAGAAACAGGGACAAAGGCCAAATTCTTTTCTTCATCTGATACCTGTAAGCCCATGAAATAATGAAAACACATGAGGGTTTAAAATACTAGATCAGATCCAGAAATATTGTCGGTGCAGCTATGGAAGCAGTGCTCTGATTCCCCACTGGGATGGGGGAGACACCGGTTTAAAAGCTTCTGAGCAGCCGTCTCAGGTGCACTATTCATCTCCCAGTCCAGAAGAACGGAAGATGGTGAAAATCAAGCAAAGGGAAACAGTGCAATGGACTAATAGACAACACAAAACTCTGAGACCAGAAGAACTACGTGGTGTTCAGCTATCACTACCAACTGCTTTGAAAAGTATCACATTAGACGATTCTTGATAGAATGGGAGAAAATGTGGAACTAAAGCCCAAATCCTAAGAGACCAGGCTTACTGGCCAGGTAGAGACTCGTGCAAGTCCCAAGACTCGGGCCGGCCCTGTCACATTTCAGGTCTGGAGCTGAATTCACCTCACTGTTAGAACCATCATCCACCTACAATTTTAAAATGTATTAATTACTCAATGACAAAGGGCAGAGGGTTCCGAGGTTTACAGAGAGATGGAAACAACAAGAAACACAGGAGACAAGTTCGGTAAGTGATAAAAGGTTGCACTGGGTGATTTGAAACATAATGCATATGAGCTACTGGATTTTAAAACTGATTATGTGTCCTGTAAAAGCCTCACTAAATTCACAATTAAAAAGTTAAATAAGAATTGAGTTGACTTATAAAGAATATTGTTTTCACTTTAATCTCTAGATTTAAACACAGAGGAGACAAAATGGACCCCAAAAAAGGCAAGGCAGCAGTGGTGAGTAGCTTCGCAGGCTGAAATAGAAGCGACAGATTCAAAGGGGTAGTGATTACAATAGTGGCCAGCAGAAGTTTAAAAATAAAATTGAATTGGGAATCAGTCAAGAACTACCTAACAGAGGAGAAAATCATGATCCCGGCAAAGAAGAACGACAGGCAAATCAGTCTAATAAACTAAAAAGGACAAAAAGTCAAACGTGATGCTGCTAATTCTCAAAAGTAAAACATAGAACACTCATCCATGTGTGAGTGCACATGGACACCTAACATCTGGGTTTTTAAAAGCTCTAAAAATATGAGTGAAATACTGAAGGTAAGACCTTCAGTTTTGGCAACTGGATGTAAGACAGTTAGCATTCAAGTATTTCACATATCGTTCTAGGGATAATTTTATAAATGTATGCAGTCTGGTATCCTACATTTACTACACATAAACCTTTGGCTACATCTATACACATACCAATCATAATAATTCATTTACTTATTATTATACTATTAGGGGGTTTCAACGAGTTCATGGAAAAATAGTGGAATTTTGAAGGCCTCTTATCTATATACTAATCTACTAGTATAATTTATTCACTTGTATAGTAGGTAAGTGTATGAGACATTCTTTAAAGGCATCTCATTTAAAAATAATTGCAACACTTAAAATCTCAGCTACCCGAATCACTAATCCCAGCAGCAAGGCTTCCCTGGGTGTGCTACATCTGATCTGCACATGTTCGTGTCTACTTTCCTGTAGAACTACCTTTCCTGTTAACCACAGACAGCACGAACCACCTCTGATGTAAACTCTGGAATAGCTCAGTAGTTCTGTGTACCTTACAGATCATTTGTTCCATATTTTGAAAATCCTTGTCAGTTATACTGAGAAGTGCCATAAAAATAAGACTAAGTAGAACCCAGTCTCAGTTTATATAACTCCACTTCAACTATAAATTAGTTCTCTGCACAAAAAAACCAGAATGAAAAGATATCAATACTAAATATAGCCTATGCTACTATTTCCACCCAGGCCGGGAAAACACCAAAGTGGGTCAAGCATTTTTCTATCATAGTTTTTTAATTTGAACAAAAAATAGAAACAGAAAGCAAGCAGCTGCCAAAGCACGTGTCTGATTTGGGGTAGGGTGTGGGGAATGGCACTTGATTAGAACAAACAGAGGCCTAAGCGTCATGAGACTCAAATAGCCAAGGGTTCAGCACCCTACTCTGGATAGAAGCATGGATGTTCTGTCCCTGATACTAAATAATACATATTCTTAATTAATGAGTTACCAAATATAAACCATTTTGAAAAATCTGGAAAGAATTTAAAGGATGATAACTTGCTCAAAAAATAAGTGATGCTTACAGAAATCCCAAAATGAACCTACCAAGTAGCTTTTTAAGTCTCTTTGGCAGGCCGAAAGAGAACTGGCCTCTGAAGACGAGCTGGGGGAAGAGCGTGGCCTGGACGAGCAGACCTGTGTTACAGAAGTGCAGCCTGCATGCTCCTTACAAGTGAAGAGAGCAAGGCTTCCCCCTCACTGCGCACTTGTTACCGGAGCATGTCATTTGGACTTGTGCACAGTCGCCGGGGAAGGGCACCATGCTTGGTAGCGTGCCGTGGAAAAGCGGGAGACGCTCAGGGAGCTGGATTGACGCAGGGGCTGCAACGGTGGGTGCAAACGTAGCACCCACGATGACAATGGTCTGGGACCGGGCAGTGTCTCGCTACGTCGTGCACGGGGCCCCTATAAGCCAGAACCAACTCGAGGGCCCCTAACAACAACAACAACAACAGTTAGAGCCTGTGTTTCAATGTAAAGTCACGCCTTCTTTCCAAGGACCACTAATCTGTCCTTAAAATATATTTTAAAACATCAGACGAGGAACAGAGAAATTAAAACCCTGTCTACTGATTATTTCTCCCTTTTGTGCACAACGTTCTCTGGAACCGTTTGTGCAGCTCCTCAGAGCAGCTTGGTCATTACTTATATCATAAGGACATTAATCCTCACCCACCAATATACAATTACTGAGCACCCATGATGAGCTAGACACTGTTCTGGGTGCTACTCACTGCCATCGAGTCAATGCTGACTCACGGCAACCCTCGTGGTTTCCAAGACTGGAACTCCTTACGGGAGGAGAAAGCCCAGTCTTTCTCCCACAGAGCTGCTGGGGGTTGTGAACTGGTGACCATACGGACTGTAGCCCAATGCTTAACCAGGACACCATGGTGCTACAGTGCTAGGATTGTAGTAAAGTGAGAATCAAGTAAGCCCCTGCTCTCCCAGAGTTTGTATTCCAGCTAGGAGGAAAAATGAATAAAGTAGACCATATTGTGCCAGATGATACATGCTTTGGTAAAATTAAAGCAAGGCGAGAGGGATAAGAAATCTTGGAGATGGCCATTTACTACACTTCGACTGTGCCTTCTGGTGCACAGCCCTCTTGAACAGGGTGACACTGGAGCAAGGCATGAAGGAAGTGAGGAAACATGCCACATGACACATGACTTTCTACATTTCTTCCTGATAAAGAAAGCAGCTGGTCTGATGGCCCTGGGCTGTGAATACATTTGGTAGATTCGAGAAATAGCACGATGACCTGCGTGTCTGGGAAAATGTGAGTGAACAGGAGGGTTTGCAGCAGCTGGGCGAGGTAGATTTCGGCCTTCCAGTGCAAGGACAGCACATAAAAACTGCTCTTTCTTGACTGACATCAAGAGCGACTTGATATCAGGCATTAGTCTTCCTTAGGTAGGTGTGCACGATCAAGAGCGTGAATAAGGACACCTGCAAGGCCATGGTCCTGTAACACGCAAAAATCAGTTTCCAAATCTGGTGAAAACACAAAGGTAGCTGTAAAACAAACTAAAAAATAACCACTTTGTTCTCTTCTTAAGGGCAATGCCATCCTCGACCCCAAGAATGCCATAAAAAAAAAAAATCATTTTTTTTGAAACATTTAAAATAATCCTTTCCTAGCTTTTAAATATGAGGAACACTGGCAAGACAGTTCAGTTTTGTGATATTCTGCCAGGAGAGTTCAAGTTCAAATGAATAAAATAAGTAATGATTTATAGTGGCCATGTCTAGTGAGACAGAATGAGTACAGACCTAGGATTTAAAGTTGGATTTCTAACTAGTCAATTCAAATTTTTTAATGGTTGGTTAATCCTAGGCAAAGTCAGGATTTCTTGGGCAAGGTCATGGTTATCTCATCTGTGAGAGAAGGAGAGTGAGCGACTCATTCCTAGGTTGGCTTCCAATTTCATTATCAAAACTTCAGTTGGGGAGCAGATTTATAAGACAAAAGTCCAGGGCAGAAGACAGCGAATTCTGTAAGTTATAAGTAAGTAGGCCCGTTAGCTGAGTTACCTCTGGGATTGTGGCCATCCCCTCATCAGGACAGGGAGAGATTGGTGAGCACAACGCTGTGACACCTAGGACGGCGAGGCAGGCACACAGAAAGGATTTGCGTCCTTGATAGAGCCACTAAGTGCTGAATTAGCATAATGCAGACCAACCCTACATGGGGACTAGCTAATATAGAATACATTCTTTAAGTATGTCAGAAAAGGTCTTTATTTCCAGCCAACGCCCTGCTAAGCTTTTACCCTTAAATACTTACATCACCTTCCCTGTCACTTTCTCTGTGAAGCTCTTCCCAAATCCCCACTGAAGTGAGCTTCTCCCGGCTCTATGCTTCTACTGCACTATTATGAGTCTGATTATAAATGTGTAACAATGCATCATAAGGGGATTTTCTATCTGTGTTCTGAGCTTCGGGCTCCTAAGGAGCAGGCACTCCTCCACTTTGGAGCTCCAGCTTGTGCTTCACTCCCAAGTCCAGCCCACATATCCAACTGCTTACTCAGCATATCCGAATGTTGCCTGTACCCAGGATACTACAAAACACTACCGCAAGGAACCAAAAGAGGCCTACACAGATGGAAGAACATACCATGTGCATGGAAAGGAAGACTTCACATTAGGAAAATGTCAATACAACCCAAAACAAAACACAAGAGGACACTGCCTTAAACACACACACACCTGACACCAGTGCAATTAAAAAGTATTACTATTGAGCCCTTAACTGTTTTCCTTTTATATACACAATATATATTTATTTATGTCTATTGGCATGGTTATATATCTGAAGTTTAATGAGAAATTACCTCCCTGTTTTTAAAAAAAAAAAAAAGCCAAATAAGTTTTAAAAGTAACAAAACAAGTAATTCCCTCAGTGCTGAGCAAATGGCAATAGCACAAACTCCATTAGTAATTCAGATTACTCTACTCGTCCCCTGCACTTCATAGCGCTCTTTCACATCTCCCCTTTATTACTCTACTCCAGATGGAGGGGTCTCTCTCCCACCACAACGACAGACCGCTGTGACCTCCCTTGCTTCCTCTCTTGCCCTCCATCCCACAAGTCATCTTTACATGGCAAGCAAAGTGAACTTTTATAATAAATCATTAAGTCAAATCATATCATTCACTTGGTTTAAATCCTTCCAATGGTTTAGCAATACTTTCAGATCCTTGCCAGTGTGGAGCAATAATCACTTTTTTGAATCTTAAAGCACGCCAACCTCATCCATTCAAGGTTGAAACACTTGCTATTCCTTATAACTGAAGACCTGTCCTCTAGCTACCATGTGGCTGCCTCTTTGATTCGAAGATCAGACCTTTGAGGACCTTCCCCAACAACCCCACCTAAGCAGTATCCATTCAGGGGCCTAGCACTCCCACCCAATTACATGACATAAAGCCTCTTCAAATCACGCACTGAGATTCTTATATTTCTATTAGTTCACACATTTACCATCTATTTTCTCACTCTCACTAGCATGTAAGCTCCTTCAAAAATAAGAGAGCTATCACTTGTATTCATTGCTGCACCTGTCACGCTGGGTGACGGCATGGCCATCAGAAATACAGAAAGGGCTCCATGTTTGCTGACAGACATTGTTATCATGTCTTTTTGAATCCACAGTCGCTAATAACAGGAAGTGCTCAATAATTGCTTGGCAAATGAAAGCAATTTGCTAACTGGAAGTTTTTCCATTATGCTCCTTTCATAACCAATTTCAGTAAGAGATATAAATGTCCCAAAGCTAAATCCATACTTACAACTGAGCAATGGCTAGCTGATGATGATTCATTCTTCTCTGGTAGCAACAACAGCGACTTCATATTCTCATTGTGTGTACAATCCACAGGCCGCAGACCAAATATGTTACTGGTAAAATAAGTACAGATGGGTTTAAGTAAATAAAGTGTGTGACTTGATTCTTAACTAAATGAATGCAGTAGGGGAACAATTTTTCAAGTGCCCTTTCTTAAGATGCAATTGTAACTGAAAGAAACAACTCAGAATCCACGTAAAGCGTAAGGATCAAGAACCATCAGTTGCTGAATTCGGTGGTGAAGAGATTTAAAATTTTAATTTGAGACCAAACCAGAGTTTATTTTTAATCGAATATACCCTTACTCAGAAAACACAGTGACTATATTATTTGTTTGCTTGTTTGTTTCAGTATTCATATTCACATTTTAAAACATGGCTTGGAAATCATTAATCACTATGAGTAAGGTTCCTTCCACCACAAATAAAAACCTTTTACTGTAGGCTCACAAGTCTATATAAACAAATACTGAAATTAGATAAATTCACAAGATAGGCCTTATGATTCATCAGAAGGAGGACTATGCCACACAACAGATACTATGATAATGTAGTAAATATAGGGCATTCTTAAAAGGAATTTCAATGGTGACATAGTGGTTATTGGAAACCCAAAGGTCAGCAATTCGAAGCCAACAGTCACTCCATGGACGAAAGATGAGGATTTCTACTCCCGTGTAAAGTTAACAAGTCTGGGAAACTCACAGCGGCAGGTCTACCCTGCCCTACGGGGCCTCTAGGAGCCAACCTTGACTCAATGGCAGTGGGCCCCTGTTGCTTTACGTATAAACAATCTAACCCACGGCTTGATTCGGTAAGTTAGGTAATTGATATTTACAGACCATGAAAAAAAAACACAGTCCAGAGAAATGATCCGCGGAGCACTGCACGCAGAGCAACTCAACACTCTCACGTACCGAATGCCCAACGAAAAGAAGCAGAACATGGTCAGACACGCTGTCAGACGATGAGCCCCTCTGGTCAGAAAGCACTAAAACCATGACTGAGGAAGAGCTGCGTTCTCAAAGTGTTAATCATGGTGACAAGAATGGACTGAAGCCCAAATGATTAAAGCCTTTGGGACTTTCACTTAATGAAAATGAGAAGAAACAGCTGAAAAAAATCTAAAAATCAGAACTTGAAATGTACTAAGTATGAATCTAGAAAATTGGAAGTTATTCAATAATGAAAAGGCATGTATGAAGATCTATACCCTAGGCATTAGTGAGCTAAAATGGACTAGCATTGGACATTTTGAATCAGAAAACATATGGTTTACTGCACTGGAAGTAACACAGTCAAGAAGAATGGCTATGCATTCATCGTCAAAAAGGACATTTCAAGATCTATCCTAAAATACAATGTTGTTTGTAACAGAGGTGAATATCTAACCAGAAACAAGGAAATCCAGTCACTGTAACTATTATTCAAATTTATGTACCAACCACTAGTTGGTGCTAGTGATGTAGAAATTGAAAACTAATGATGAAGCAATCTAGCAACATCTTCAGTGTGCAATTGATTAAACATGCAATCAAAGTGCATTGATGATTATTAGCAATTGGAATGCAAAAGTTGCAAACATAGAGGAAGGTATAGTAATTGGAAAACGTGACTCTGGTGATAATAACAAAGCAGGAATTTGACACGACCAACAAAACAGGTGACAGAAATAAAACATAGAATTTAGCAAGACCAACGACTTGTTCCTGGTAAATACCTGTTATCAACAACAGAAACGGCGACTGCACACAAGGACTTCCTACGTGAAATACACAGAAATCACACTGACTTCATATCTAAGGAGAAACTCAGTATCAGCAGTTAAAACCAAGCCAGGGACTGACTGCAGGACCAGACCATCAATTACTCAACTACATTCCAGGGTGAGCTGAAGAAAATTAAATACGCACTTGAATCCATCCCACCTGAATCTCAAGAATATCTCAAGAACAGATCCACTGCATTGACCATTAATGAAAGAGGAGCTGGTGGGCCGTGGGAAAGCCATCAAGAACATCATTCATGAAGAAAACAAAAGGCAGGAAACAAAGAAAAGATCAACGTGGATGTCAGAAGAGACTCTGAAACATGCTCTTAATTGCAGAGTGGCTAAGGCAAATGGAAATGATGAAGTAAAAGAGCTGAACAGAAAATGTCAAAGGGCAGCTCCAGAAGACAAGGTATTATTATGACATTTGCAAAACGTAGAGTTAGAAAACCAAAAAGAACATGCTCAGCATGCCTTAAACTGAAAGAACTCAAGAAAAAACTTAAGCCGCAGGCTGCAAGATTAAAAGCCTGGAAGCATGGAAAGAAGATGGAAAGAACACACAGAATTACTGGAACGAGAAGAACTAGTCCACATTCTACCATTTCAGGAGGAGCAAGAACCAATGGTGCTGAGGGAAGAAGTTCAAGTTGTACTGAAAGCTTTAGCCAAAACAAAAGGTCCAAGAATTGATGGAATACAAACGGAATATTTCAACAAGCTGATGAAGCACTGGAAGCACTCACTCACTGGTCTACGCCAGGGAATTTGGAAAAACAGCTTCTTATCCAACTAACTAGAAAAGATCTGTATTTGTACCCAGAAAGAAGACACAACACAATTTTCAAATTATAGAACAATATCACTGACATCACATGCAAGGAAAATTTTGCTGCAAATCATCCACAATGGTTCAGTAGGGCATTGTTAGGGATCTGTCACAGGTTCATGCCAGATTTAGAAGAGACGCACAAGGGAGGGCTATTATAATTGATGTCAGTTGGACCTCTGCTCAGAAGTAAAAATGTGTTTTATTGACTATGCAAAGGCATTAAACTGTGTGGTTCATAACAGACTGAATAACCTTAAGAATGGGAATTTCAGAACTCTTCGTTGTGCTCATGTAGAACTTCTATATGGAGAAAGAGGCAGCTGTGCAAACAAAACAAGGGAATAATGCATGGTTTAAAATCAGAAAAGGGAAAAAAATCAGAAAAGGTGTGCGTCAACGAGCAAATAATTAAAGAAGTTGGGTTATGTGACAAATGTACCATGAGGATTGGAGGAAGGTTGATTAACCTGTGATATGCAGGTGACATAACCTGGCTTGCTGAAAGGAGGATGTGATGCCCTTGCTCAAGATGGTAAAGGACTGCAGCCTTCAGTACGGATTACAACTCAATGTAAAGAAAACAGGTACCATCATGATAAATGGAGAAAAGATAGAAGTTGTCAAGGACTCCATCTCGCTCAGACCCACCATCAACACTAATAGAAACAGCAATTAAGAGATCAAAGGGTGGATGCATAAGCAAATGTGGTGAAGAAAGGTGATGGTGGCTACCAAAAGATACAGTGTCTGGAGTCTTAAAAGGCTTGAAATTAAACAAGAGGCCATCTAGCAGAGAAGGAACAAGCCCACGTGGAAGAAGCACACCAGCCTGTATGATCATGAGGTAGCCACAGGATCAGGTAAAAGGCATCTGAAGACCCAAAACAAAAAATCACACTGTTGAGAATGAGGGGTCAGCATAGACTCAGAACCCATCTGTAGACACTACGACAGCCCCTCACAGAAGATTCACAAAGAAGGGATGAGTCAACCAGGGCGCAGTATTCCTCTGGTTCTTTGAGGCTTCCTCTCCTCCACTACCATGACCCAAGTCCTGCCTTTCAATTCTGGCTTGACCAAAGAATGTACACTGGTACAGATAAGAGCTCCTGCCACATAAAATCCAAGTCAGATAAACCCCTCAGGAACAGAAATGGGAGGAGTAGCAATACCAGGAGGGTATGAGGAAGGGGCGGGGAAGAAGGGGACAAAGGTGGAACCGGTTTCAATGATTGACACATAACACCCCACCCCCACCCCAGGGGGAAGAACAACAGAAATGTAAGTGAAAGGAGACAGCAGTTGGTGTAAGATATGAAAATAATAATTTATAATTGATCAAGGGGTGGGGGGTAGGGAGCAGAGGAGCTGACACCAAAGGCTCAAATAGAAAATAAGTGTTTAGAAAATGATGGCAACATAGTTACAAATATGCATGATACAATTGATGCTGGACTGTTTAAGAGCTGTAAGAGCCCCCAACAAAATGATCTTTAAAAGAAAAGAGATCGAAGGAAGCAGTACATTAGGTAAACCTACTGCATAAAACCGCTCTAAATTGTGGAAAAGTAAGTATGTTACTTTGAGGCCTAAGGTGTGCCTGACTCAACCACGTATCTTCAGTTGCCTCCTCGGCATGTAAACTCGGATGTTGAATAACGAAAATAGGAGAAAAACCAGTACATTTGAGTGACGGTGTTGGTGAAGAAACAGTGAAAGGACCATGGAGGACCAAAGTAATGCACAGATTTGTCTTGGAAGAAACAAGGATGGTGAGACTTCGTTTCGTAGTCTGGACGTGCCCTCAGGAAAGAACGGGCTCCCGGAGAAGCGCATCGTCTTGGTGAAGGAAGGGCAGCAAAGGGGAAGGCCCTCGTCAAGACTCTGGACACGGTGGTCCACCGCAGCGATGGACTCACGGATGGACTCGCGCACGAAGAACAAATGTGAGGCTGGCCCAGGACCAGGCAGCGTTTCCTTCTGTTGGACACAGAGAGGGCTGCCCAAGTCTGAAGGCCTTGATGGCCCCTAACAGCACACAATGTAAACCACTATTAACCCTTGCCATTAAAGCACAAACCAGTAAGGTTCAGAGTCACTGAAAGCACAAGTCTCAATAAGTCCCAATTCACAAGTCACAGAACGCTACGCTAGAAGGTTTCACAGATCTCTGTGCACCCCGATCTCTCAGTGGCACAGCTAAGGAAACAAATACTGAGGTTCCAATGACTGAAAATTACCATTTCTTGGTTCACTTCAATACTGATGTTCATCAGCTTTGTAATGATAAGTTAAAAGTTTAAGCTGTTTGAATCTTATCTATTTCTAGTGCCTTACATATGGTTTGAGAATAGTTTAACTGTATGACATTATGAAAGTAAATTTTGTTTTAATTAACTTATTTCTTTTTCTAATCTCTGTTTTTGAAAATGGTGGTAAGGCCATACGAGT